ACGTATGTTTATCGCAGCATTGTTCACAATAGCAAGAACCTGGAATCAACCATACTGTCCATCAAAAGAAGACTGGATTAAAAGAATGTGGTACATATATATGATGGAATACAACACAGCCATAAAAAAGAACAAAATCATGAACTTCGCAGCAACCTGGATGAAACTAGAGTCAATAATACTGAGTGACCTCTCACAGAAACAAAGATCTGAGTATCACATGTTTTCACTCATAGAGTGGACCTTGAACATCCATGTAATACTGTAAGAAAAGGACTGACAGTGGTGGGAAACTATGGGGGGAGGGAGGGGAAGGGAGGTGGGATTAACGGTAGTCAACATCTGTCTGGGGACAGGGAGACACCCCTTAAACAAGGGTGCCTGAATGAATATCAAAATAAAAAATATTGATAAAAAAAAAAAAAGAAGCAGACTGAATTTTCAGTGGTTTGAAACAGTTAGTAACAAAGGCAACAAAAACAGCAATGAAAGTTGTCAGAAGGTGTTGACAGATTCTGAAGGATGATTGGCTGAGCTCCTGGAGCAGAGAGAGCAGAATGGATGTCAACAGAACAGAGGCTGACCTTGGTCTTGGAAGCCCAAGTCTGGACTGGCAGGCACAAGGGAAATGATCCCGCCCTTGCAGAGAGTGAAGCGCTCATCACGCACCTGTCTGCAGGGGAGCGAGATCAGAAGTTGACATCGACGTGGAAAGGATTAAAGCGCCAGTGCAGCAGGGCAGATCACTGCCCCAGGTGGCAGGAAGAACTGCCCTGACCACTTCAGGGCCATGCGCTGCGTCTCACTATGGAGGCCACAGTGAAATGGTATCATGCAAATATAGTTTTAGTATCACAAAACTGTGAACTTCCTGCAAAGGCCCAAAGGCAGGAGAGTAGAGAGTGGGGAGATGCCTGCAGTGAGCGAGGGAAAGGGGTGAAAGAAGATGGGGTTATGTTAGGAACAAGCGTTTTACTTATTCCTTGCTTACATGTGAGATAAGAAGCCACTGGACAGTAGTGAGAAGAGGTGTGATACCACATAGAAGGTTCTAGGGGGATCACTCTGAGTGTTGAGGAGAACAGACAACCAGGCCTGAGGCAGTAAGAACTGAGCCCTAGAAAGTTCCAGATGATGGTTTATTGAATGGAGGACTCATTTAAGATCACACAGCCTAAACGAGGCCAGTGCTCGCTCTGTGTTTAAAACTCACATCTTGCCAAAGATCAGGGATCTTCCACCTCTGGAGTCACCTCAAAACCACATTTAAATTTGACACCAGCAGTCACTGGCACAGTCCTTTAATAATTTTTATTATATCCCCATGTTACTGGGATTCTTTTGATTTTTGAAAATGGACTCTTAAAAACTTAAATGAATATTAGATTATTTGACCTGGTCTGGTCCTAATCAATTAACATATTTAAAATGCTAGTTTTTTGTATTGCACATAAAAATAATTAAAAGCGGTTAAAATAAGAAATGTGTGTGCCACCTGAAGTCATTTTTCATACTACTGGTGGTCCACATCCTGTATTCTAGGACACATTGCTTCAGACAAAGAAGGCCCTAGGGATGATACACGTGCATGGCAAGAAGTCAGGGCTAGGTCCCAGAGCCTGTTGCAGTAAAACCGCCTCAGAGAGAGGCAGCTTTGGGAGCCAACCTGAAGCACTGCAGCCGAAGTCCTCGGGCAAACTGGCCAGCTTGATACTCTTCTCCATCCATCACCGAAGGGACTGTCTCTGTGTCCTGCACGATGACAGCCATTTCGCTGTCCCGCTTTCCCAGCATGCTTCGGTCATTTATGTTGGCAGAGCCTGTGAGGAGAAACAGCAAAACTGAACAGCCTTCTTGCCACAGACACTGTGGGCTGTCCTCCCCCTCAGGTCTTCCTTGTTAATAAGACCTAATTAACCCTGAGCCTTGTTGAGGTCGCCAAAGAAGATGTGCTTAGGGAAGGGGCCCTCCTTCCCTGAGGGACGAACCTTGATTGCTCTAGGCCAGTCATGATAATTTCATGGCTAAGGAATGGTCATTTGATGTGGCTCTGGCCAGTGTGACATGAAGGAAAGTCTTCTAGGGTCTTCTGAGAAAGCTTTTCTCAGAAGTTTTTCTCCTTTGTAAAAAGGAACACAAGAAATGGATTCTGTCTATTCCAGGCTTTGGATATTTCGGCTTGAAGGGTTGGATGAGGACATGATTCTAGGCAGCCATTTTGCAAGCACTAGGGCACAAAAAGAAACTAAAAATGGCAAAGCAGAAAGAAGAAAGACTCTAGATTTCTACATCATCGAACTAGCCAATGCCTAAATGTTCTTGTCTTCTGTTATGTAAAATGATAGATTTTCCTTACTGTTTCACACACTTTTAGTTGAGTTTTCCATCTTGTAGCACAAAGATTCTAGCTGGTATAATCAAGCACTTGAAGAAAAAAAAAAGACATGCTCACCAGTTCAATAGAGAAGATGGCTTTGCTTTGACAGTTAAGAATCAGAGTCTTGGTAGACTTTAACTCATAGTCAATAATTATGAATGTTAAAACCCAAGAGTACCTTCACCATCATTTAGTATAATCTCAAATAAAGACTGTCACATGTGGCTCTGGGCTTTCCACACTGGCCTCACTCGTGTGGCATGCTAACAGCTTCTGCCTCGACTTCCCACCATCCTGTTTAGATCCAAATGATCTGAGGATGTTGATGCCCACACGTAAAGGGCAACTATTCCAAGATTGTCCAGCCTGTGCTTTCTGCAGGCCTCTGCTGTGTGTTCGGAAACCTCATCATGTTTTTTGCCCTCATCTCCATGGACTCATGTGTGTGGGTCCCTGAGGTGTTCTATGAACGACAGAAAGGGCCCATCGAACACCTTTCTTCTTGCTCTTCTCGCCCTGGTTGCAACCTCTGCTGCTCCTGCAGACGTGGAGCAGAGGGTCAGCCTGGACAAATGCCCTGGCGGCCTGTGACTGGGGCGGCTGGAGCTGTGAGGTAAGACCTGCCCCGAGCCAAGTAGTGGCATTTTCTGCACGAGAAAAAGCTGCCCTCTCCTGAAGAGATTTTACTGCCATTTGCCAGAATATTGTCACAGAATTAACACAGAAATCTGTAATGACTATGGATATGAATGGGACCCATGGTGGCCCTGCGGGACAGAGAAAGGATCGATAACCCTATTGAAATACAAAAGTGCGCTGGAGTACTGGAAGGACCTTTGGAACACCGTACTGTTAGCAACAAATCGTCCGTTCTGCATATACTTACAGTGATGCTATAAAATCTGCAGCTATATCTTTGGGATGGAAAGTTGACTCAACATTAATTTCGGTAATTTACTTAATCTTTCTCAGCTTAACATAATCCTCATAGACTGAAATAATAACACAGACTTTGTAGGGCTGTTGTGGGAATTAACTAAGACCATGTGAAACTACTTCCTGATCTACAAATTGCTCTACAAATGTTCATTATTATTGGCATTATTATCAGGTACTTGTCACCTCTATACTATCTGTACCAGAGAACAATGCCATAGGAAGGGCAATTTGCTAGAATGTAGCATTTGTGTCAAAGAATCCTGCTCTCTGGCTTAGTCACCCCAGGTGTGAACTGTCAGGATTAAAATATTAAGCTCCCTTGGGGCGTTACTACCCCCCCCAACTGCAGGGGTCGCAGTCAGGTGAGGGCTGCTGGCTTGGGGGCAGACATTGCAGCTCTGTTCAGCACCAGAAGAACTGGGGATGTGAGCCAGTGTGGAAAGCACCCTCCCACATGCACTCTTGCGGGGGCCCTCCCCCCCCACCCCCACAGCAGGCCTCACACTCCCAAGGGGAGGAACACATTCCTGGCATTCTGAGCTTGACTCCTTAGAAAGCAAGTGTGGATCTGGTACCTGAAGGGCCACCCTGGAGTTACCCAGAGCACTGAAACCCAACCACATAGAATAACAAATGGGCCACTGTGTAATAGGACTGTGAGGAAAGAGATGGGAAAACTTCAGTTGAGGTGAATAATAAGTTGTGAAGGATCATTAGGCAAAAACTGGAAACAAGCCAGAAGTCTTTCAAATGGTGAAAGATTAAATACATGATAGTACATCCATACTATGGGACCCTATCTAGCCATAAAAAGAAATAAACTATTTATACATGTAACGACCTGGATGACTCTCCAAGGAGTTATGCCCCTGAGTTTAAAAGAAAAATGCCAATACAAAAGTACTGCGTGATTTCATTTATACAACATTCTTGAAATGACAAAATGATAGAAATGGAGAGCAGAATAGTGTTTGTCAAGAGTTAAGGGAGAAGAAATAAAAAACTTTGTTATTTGGAGAAAAAAAAGAGAGCGATTGTGAAGGATGCCAGTGCTACCTTCATTCTCATTCTTAAATGTGCCTGTATTTTGAAAATCAAGTTCACAACAGCAGATATAGGGTACTATGTGTATATAATCTGAGGAAGTAGTCATATAACACAGGAGGAATATGAGAGAGCAAGAGATCTAGGAAGATACCCACTGAGCTGTCAAGGAGGTAGGTGCTTTCCAGTGAAGAGAGACAGAAGGTGAATTTGGATTCTTTTTTAAATTGGCGTCTCACTCTGTCACCCAGGCTGGAGTGCAGTGGCATGCTCACAGCTACCGCTGCCTCAATCTGCTGTGCTCAAGTCAGCCTTCCACTTCAGCTTTCCACTACACCCAACTAATTTTTTTGCTCTATTGTAGAGATGAGGTCTCGTCATGTTGCCCAGGTCAGTATCGAATCTGTGGGCTCAGGCAGTTCTCTTGCCTTGTCCTCCCAAAGAGCTGGGATTACAGGCATGATCTACTGTGCCTGGCTGAATTTGGATCTTTCATATACAGCTATATACATCCGTAGAATTTGAACTGTTTACCATAAATATACAGTGTATTCTTTCATGTATTACTTTTTATGGTAGCTGTAAAATACAATTTGCCAAAAAAAGTGGTTTGATCATTTAAAACCACTTAGTTTTTAGAAAATGACCTATTCTGAGCCCGCAATTAGTAACTTTTTTACAACTGTGGAATATAGCAAAATACAAAAGGATACATGAAAACACACATGTAAGGCTTAGACAATAATAAAATAAACATAGCCGAATTTATTACCCAGGCCGACAACAACACTGCCACATCCCAGAAGGCCTCATGTACCTTCCCATGCAGATCTTTCCCTCCCCAAGGGAGAGGCTTAGTGTTGAGTTTCGTGTTCATCATGCTCTGTGTGTTTTCCTGAACAAAAAATAGTTTACTTCTGACTTGTTTTAATTTATATAAGTGGAATCATATAGCAGATAATCTTCTGAGATTTGCTTATTTCATTCAATATCATGCCTTTGGGATTTATTTGTGCATAATTGCAATGCATTTATTTTCCTTTAATGAACATATCAGGGATTTATCTACCCATTCTATTATTGCTGGATGTTTGGATTGCTTCCAAAGTTTTGCTGTGATGCACAATTCTGCTTTACATAGTTATATATTTATTTCTCGGTTTACATCTGTGAGTTTACCTAGCTAGCCTCTGTATTGCAGGAGTTGACTGTTAAGTTGCGATCCTCCTCTTTACTATGACTTCACCAGGTAATGCCAGAATGTTTTCCAAAGCAGTTTCCAACTTATACCACCACCAGCAGTGGAGGGGAGTCCCTGTCCCTGGTGCTCCACAGCCTTGCCAGTTAGACTGCCCAACTTTAAAATTTTTTCCAGTCTGGTATTTTTAAAAACTCTCACTGGTCTTATATTAAGAATGAACTTTTTCCCCCTATGCTTATGGGCCTTGGGTATGTTCTTTTTGCTGAAGTTCCTCTACAACTGCTTTGCCCATTTCTCGTTGGCTATTTGTCTTCTTATTGATTTACAGGAGTTCTTTATGTGTTCTGAATATTAAGTGTATTGCAAATATCTTCTTTCAGTTTGTGGTTTATCTTTTTATTCTCCTTATAGCATCTTTTAATAAAAACAATTCTGAATGATAATGCAGTAGGATTTAATTTTCCTTTGTGGTTTGTTTTTTTGGTGTGTGTCTTGTTTAAGAAACTGTGAATCCTTCTGTGGTTTGCAGAGTAACGGCTTCCAGAGAAGTCCATGTTCTAATCTCTGAAACATGTGAATACATGTTACCTGGCAAAGGGGAATGAAGGCTGCTACTCAGCTGATCTTAAAACAGGGTGCTTATCCTGGATTCCCCAGATGGGCCCAATAGAATCACACGGTCTTTAAAAGGGAAGGGGAGTCAGCCTGAGGTATGATTACAGAAGAATGAGTTGGGACTTGAGGGAATTTTTAGAGAGATACAATATTGCTGACTTGCTGATTTTCACATGAAGAAGGGGGCCATGAGCCAAGGAATGTGGGCAGCCTCTGAAAGCTGGAAAAGGCAAGCAAATAGACTCGCCAAGAGCCTCAAGAAAATAATGCAATAGCCCTTCCAACACCAGGATTCTAGCCAGTGAGACCCACGTTGAACTTCTAACCTACAGAAGTGTCAGATAATACACTGGCTGTCTGGGCTGTTTTAAGCTGCTAATTTGTGGTCATTTGTTACAGCAGTAATAGAAAGCCAACATACCAACTCTACCCCATTTTAGTGTATTTGTTTTAAAGGAAAACTGGTTCTTCTACTGAGCCTGCTGGGCTGCTGTGCAGTTTCCACCCACTGTATCCCCACACCTCCAAATCAGAAACGCTCAGCTTTGACTTCACATGAACTTCCTCCAGGAAGTTTCTGACACGTGCTGATGCCAAAAACGAAAACTCCTGAAGCCTGGGCCTCAACCAGAGCAATTAGATAAGAATTTCTGGAAGTGGGAACCAGGCAATGGTATACTACTCCATCCCTGTATCCATCATTACTTTGCCTTTACAAAAAAAAAAATTTATAAGTACTTTACAGACACAAGGAAATTTTCCACTGAAAGATACATCTCTATTTTTGAAGCTCTCCAGAACATCCTGCTGGAGACGGGCTGAGACCCACCAGATGAGGTCTTTTCAAAATAAGCACAATCCCTCTTTCCTGGGCAGCCCTTCACTAGGCCCGCACCAGCTACCCTCCAGCCTGCCCTTCCAGCACCGATGCTCGTGACTCTCCCCGGTTCTCCACCGACCCACACTCCAAGGTTGCCCGGACCTTCTTGCCCCCGTGCAGCAACAGCCACCCAATGTGTCTGGTGTCAGGTGGAAGGCACGGCTGCCTCTCCTCGCCAGGAACCCCAAGAGGGCAGTGGCGCTGTTTGGGCCGTGTTTTACATCTCCTTATTGTGCTTTGTAGTGGATGGATGAACATGAAAAGCAACCGTTTTACTTAGTCTTGAGAATGGACTTCAATTCTACTTGAAGGGTAGCTTCATTTTGTTTAGGAAAGCAAATAAATCTTAGTCTAGATTTCACAGCCAGCAGGGCTACCCAGAGCAGCAAGTAATTAGAGCTATATTCAAGAGAGATCTTCAATGTGAGAAAACAGATGTCTTTTTCTTTTTTTTTTAGAAAGCAGGATTTATTGAGAGGACAGAAAAACCCCCACAGTGGGAGGGGACCCAGGGGGTTGCTCCAAAACAAATATTTCTTATGAGGAAAAAAATGAGGATAAAAAAATTAGTCATTTTTCTTATGCCCATTATTCAATAATTCTGGCATAAGTTTGCAACATTAAAAAAAAAATCAAAGTTTATTTTAACCTCCTTTAAATTTTTAAATACTTGCTTAACACCTGTAAAATAGTCTCAACCTAACTTCTCAAACTCCTCTCTGAGAATGTTACACATTGCTCTCTGTGTTATGAACTTACACAGGGTGACTACGTCAGAAAAGCAACAATAAGCCTGCTTACGCTTAGAGTTTCTACTGAGATAAAAAGAACAAATTATCCTTTAGGTTTTTCCTTGTGAGAAATCGATTCTTTAAAGCACACTGCACTTAGTGAAGGAAAAATAGAGACCAGGCTCTAAGGACTAGCAAATAAGACCTTGTCATATTCCCAGGGCTGCATCTTCAGTTTCAAGAGTGGACAAGAATTATGTGCAAAGTTGATTATTACTAGCCAAAATAAATCGGAGCCTCTGAGGGTACAGAGACCTTTCTAGAAAATCAGTCCATTAAAAAACTCAATAAACCTATCTAACTGTTAGCTCTGTGACTGAAGACCACTTCACATTTATACTTTTTGTAAAGGAAGCTGAAAGTCAAAATGAGCTTTCAAGGGAAAATATTCACACTTCTCAATTTTTACTTCAAGAGTCCTGCAATCTTGCTGACGAAATCAACCACATTTTATTTGGCTTGTTAGTTTGTTTTTCCATTTCAGCAAACATCAGTCTTTCTCCTTCCCCACAGTCACTGCCAACCTTAATGTAAAAATCCTCTGAGATTGACTTCTGAAGAGCAAGGCCAGAGTAGCTTACGGGAAATAAATGGAATCTCGTGTATCAGGAGAAGCTCCTCAAGAGCTCAAAGAGCAAGATATGTTTTCCTGAATGTCCTGTACAAGTATTAAAAGAATGTGTGTGTGTGTTTACATCTCTCTATCCACCACTCTGCTGCGGTCCCTACCTTTCATGGCTTCAGAATTACATTTCTTTTCTTAAATCACATTCCAGGTAAGACAGTCTCATTACTCTGAGGTATGAGGTCTTTTTTCTTTTCTCCATGGAGAGAGAGATCATGCCAAAAACTTTCAAAACTACTCCATGATATTTAGTCATTTAGAATAGGAAAGTATTGTATTATAGCTGAGAAACTACATCTTACTTAAAACAGATGAGCAGAATTCTCAACAGTGGGACACATCAGATCTCTAGCCACATATCCCCAGCCCAGCCACCTTATCCACCTAGGTGGTTATTAATATTCTGCTTGCTACGCTGGCCTTCCAGAATTCATTTCATATGACATTAGAAGGCAAAATAATTCAGTGATGGAAGAAGGAAGCTCTCTGTGTGCATAAAGAATGATGCTAAATATCTACCTCTCTGGTCAAGATCTTGTAATTTGGGTAGAATGCACAACTAGTAACTCTCCCGCATCTGTCAGTGGGGATAGGCCGTTGGAGAAATCGACTGTGTATCCTTGACAAGACTGCAGACCTTAGTGAGCCACATCGTTTCATGAGCACACAGATCCCTCCTCACTCATCCACACCAACGATGCTGGACCGCTCTACTCCCAACTCATGACACCTAAAGCGCAGACATTAGGAGAAAAAAGGGTAGGCAGAGAGGCATTGACATTTTGATATCCTTCTGATGTTGACTTTTACACAACTTCAGATCTGTGATAATGGTTAGGTGGATGTGGTGTAAACAGAGCAAATTAGGATGAGGCACTTGCTTTTAACACAGTTTCGTTCCCCATTTCTCCCCCACCAATCCCTGAAACTTAGACACTTGCATTCAAAATAAAAATTAAGAATAAAGCTGGGCATGGTGGCTGACACCTGTAATCCCACATTTTGGGAGGCCGAGGCAGGAGGATCCCTTGAGCCCAGGAGTTCAAGACCATCCTATGCAACGTACTGAGACTCCTATTTCTAAAAAATTTTTTTAAAAAAACAAAGGAATAATAAAGAACTAATTAGATCAAGCAGTTATTGGAGTACAAGATTAAACCATTGCTTCTGGAGACTATAATTTGCACAAAGTCCATTTAATTGCCCCATACCTCTGATTCGTCACAGATAAAAATGGGTTAGAGAAGGCATAAGAGAAAACGACTGCTTCAGAATGTTTTAGATGGGTTACTGTGTCTCTCAACTGCAAAAGAAGCATGGAAAGAACAGCAGCAGAGATTTCTGCATGAGGTAAGTCAACTGGCAAGGAACACAAGTATAGACCATACTCAGTACTTACCAATGATAACAGTGTTATCATCAGCGATTAGCAACTTGCTGTGAACATAGATGAGCTCAGTGACCAGGTTTCCCTCCAGTGCTGCGTGTGTTCTGAGACCACAGAATGATATGTAGTTTATCCACTGATTACCAACTGTAATTTAAAAAGAAATTACTAAAATTAATATGACTAAGCTCAATAAAGTCACTACACATTTTATTTCTAAGAACATACCAATTTGTTCAGAATAAATTGTCATATATATATACACACACACACGTGTGTGTGTGTGTGTGTGTGTGTGTGTGTGTACGTATTTTTTTTTTCTATTCCAGAATTCACCTAGGATCTATTTTTGCTAGCTGAGTTTTATATTGTTAATCTGACAGCCATAAGTTTTAAAACCATATAGAATATTCCATCTTCCCTTTGCTGAGGCAATCCAAAAAGGTATTCAACAATGCACACTTTAATGATTTGGTGAGTACCTACTGAATGAAGAGTGATGCTTACAGTTAAGCCAGAATATATAAACTAAGACTTGAGTATGACATTTGCTTCTGTCTTGGTTGGCATCTGTTGCAGTGTAAATCAAGTGCAAGATGTGTGCCCAAACCACCTGATGCTTACATAGCTTAAGCACATTCAGTGTTAATACAGATTTTAGGTAAATACAAATATTGGCAATTAAAAAACACTTCTCCTTCTAGATCATTAAAATTAGGAAATAAGAGAATTCTTACTACATTTGACTTAGAAGAAATTTCTCCAGAGCAAGAAGTATCAGGCCTGTGTTTTAAAATATCATTCTCTCATCTCATCATGTGAGGGCCATTCACATGAAAAGAAAAAATACATTCCATACCAAGCCAACTCATAGTCATCACCCTGATGTGAATGTTAGTCACAAGATTTTATGGTCCCTCTCCCAAATAGTAGTTGTCCTAGATAAGCAAAGCCTTACACTAAGAGTAAGTGGAATGGAAACAAACCATCACAAATTCTAATGGAGAAGACTGTATAAGTCTTTTTTTCTTTGTCTTTGAGAGGACCTGAAGCATATTAATAGAACCAGTGGTAGTTCATGTTCCATTTATAGAAGTTTCCATTTATTACTGATGTTTTCTATTGTGCTACTGATGTTATTCAGTGTTTCTATTAAGTTTGGGGATTTTGGAAATAAATTCATTTCCAGGTTATGTACAGAGACTACCCTGCTTGGAGATAACCCTTCCCTTACATATACGAGTGACTGTATGTAGTTATGTTTGACAAGAGTTGATGTGTTGGTGTACATCTGTAAGAAGTTTCATGTAAATGAGATGTTTGCGATCAATTTCTTCCCCAATTTGTTAATTTATATTGGAAAGATGCTTCATCTAAAGTTTCACCTCCTCCTTAAAGTCTTTTCTGACCTCATTCCTCTTTTAAGCACTCAGGCCCATAAAATTCCTGGAAAATAATTCTAATTTAGTGTCTAATATTTCACAAGTACTTATATAATCAATTTCTCCTACAGTTAAAAAGAAACTGCACAAGAATTTACACATTTTGATACCCTTGCACAGTGTTTTAAAAAAACTGAATGAGGCTGGGTTCGGTGACTCAGCTGTAATCCCAGCACTTTGGAAGGCCAAGGCAAGTGGACTGCCTGAGGCCGCAGGTTTGAGACCAGCCTGGGCAACTTGGCAAGACCTTGTCTCTACAATAAATAAAAAATTAGCTGGGCACAGTAGCACATGCCTGGAGTTCCGGCTGCTTGGAAGGTTGAGGCAGAAGGATTGCCTGAGCCCAGCAGGTCGACACCGTGAGCGTGCCACTGCACTCTAGCTGGGGCTACGGAGTGAGACTCCAACTCAAAAAAACAACAACTGAATGAGTGAAGATCAATGGATAAATATTCAGGTGGTAGCTAATATTTTAGCTTTTAGTTTCTCTATATCATCAACTTTCCTACAGCTGGCTCATAATCCAGACTCTATCATTTAAAGGCACAAACCAGCTTTTTTAAAGGAATCATGGAGCAAATCTTTTGCTAAAGTAAATATTTTCTGCAGTATTTTTCCATAAAATTCACACTAAACAATAAGCAGACCAGTGGTTCTCAGTGTGCGTAAAGAGCACCTCTGTGGGACTTGTTAAAAGCAGTCCTGTGATTCTTCCCAGAATTCTGATTCCCCAGAATCAATTCAATAAGTGTCCTAGGGAACATTGCTTTGAATGATGCGGCTATAAACTTTGGTATTTACAGATTTAAGATTAGTATACATATTAAGAAAATAATACATCATAACCAAGAGAGATGCATTCCAGGGATGCAAGTCTGCTTAATATGAGGAAATCCAATATTCAGCATTATGTTGACCAATCTGGGAAGAAAAGTCATGTGATTATCTCAACAGATGCCAAAAAGCTTTTAACACAATTAAGTATTTATTCCTAATTTTAAAAAATGGAGAAAGTAGGAAATAATGAATACTTTCTTAACATGCTTAAAAATATACAATGCATGTAATAAACATTGTGATATATTCATACATGTGTGTACAGTATCTCCAATACTATTTAATATTGCCTTGGAGGTGTCAGTCAATGCAGTTAGACAAGAGAAATCATATATAAAGTAAAATGGCTCCATTTGCAGATACTATGATAGTATACCTCAAGAATCAGTGATAAAATAATATCAAACAGCAAAATAATTAAGTATGTAACAGAATATAAATTAATATATGGAAACCAATAGCCTTTATGTGTACAAGCAACAGCCATTTAGAGAATATAATCACGGAGAAAACCCCATTTACAAAGGAAACCCAGAAGAGAAAATGTTAAAGATAAAATGAATAGTATATGTGTAAAACTTATAAATAAAAATTGAAAACACTATCAAGACACAAGAATAGACTTGAACAAGTAGAAAGATATCCCTTGTTCTAAGACAGAACCATTCACTGTTAGAAAGATATCAACTCTTCCCAGGTTAATTTATAAGTTTGCTTTGATCTCAGTAAAAATACCAACGCATTTTCTATAGAATTAGACAACCTATAGTTCATATGGAAAAATAAACATTCAAGAATAACTAGGAAAAAATAAAAAAGAAAAGCTACGAAGGGGCATTAGCCCTGTCAGATATTAACACACACTATAAAGTCTGTATAATTGAAACAGTGCAGATCTGGAACACAAATAGACAGATAAGACAATGAATAGAATAAAAGTCCCAAAATAGACCCGAGGCAGATAAAAATTTTGTAAATGATAAGGGTAACATCTCATATGACTAGGACAAGGACTTTTAACTAAAAGGTGGTAGTATAATTGCAAAGTCACTGGACAAAGATAAACCCCCCAAAATAAACTCCAAATGGCTCAGAGATAGAAATGGAAGCACATGAAACCAGACAAGTGTGAGAAGAAAATAAAGGTGAATTCCCCATACCTCAAGTGTAGGGAAGGCTTTGCAACAAGCCAGAGGCAATAAAAGATTAATCACATTGGTTAGATTAAAACAACAACATGTTTGCATGACACAAAATATCACAGCAAAAACAAAAGGCAAAAAATAAACTGGAAGAAAGTGTTTGCAGTACATATATCACAGATAAACAGGTATGAATCCTAACATATAGAAAGAACTCTTAAAAATCGAAGGGGGCTGGGCTCAGTGGCTCAGCCCATAATCCCAGCACTGGGAGGCTGAGACAAGTGGACTGCCTGAGTCCACAGGTAGCTGACCCGCCTGGGCAGCTTGGTGAGACCTTGTCTCTACCATAAATAAAAACATAATCGGGCATGGTAGCATATGCCTGTTGGAAGGTTGAGGCAGAAGGATCGCCGGAGCCCAGCAGGGAGGTAGAGGCTGTGGTGGCCATGAGCATACCACTGCACTCCAGCCTGGGTAACAGAGTGAGAACTCAACCAAAAAAAAAAAAATGGAAAGGAAAAAAGATCAAAATCTCAGTCAAAAAATGGGCAAAAGACATGAATAAACAATTCATATACACAAAAGACACATCTGAAAAGATATTCATCATTACTTGTAATAATAGAAATACAAATTAAAATGACACTGAGAAACCATTCTTACCCATGAGATTGATAAAAAATAAAAAGTAGGACAACATATTCTGTTAGTGAGAATAGGTTGAAACAGACTCTCTCATATATCAAAGGTGAAAATGCAAATTGGTACAAATTTTGTGGCGGGTCATTTGGCAGTATTTAACTAAGCTCCCTAGGTGTTTGCTTTTGGACCCAACGACCCCACTCTAGAACTTTACCCTAAATGTACACCTCCAACAGATAAGAACGTATGTGTATAATATTATCCATTGGCTAGTTCTATTAGAAGCATATAATTGTTTGTAATCGACAATACTGAAAACAATCTGAATACCCATATAAGCCAAGTAACAATAAACCATGGCAACCACACAAGAAAGACTACGCAGAGATAAAAATGAATGAATATATTGTTCCAGAATATACTGTTAAGTGAAAAAAGCAAAGTGAAGAAGAGAATGTGTGGTATGCTATTTTTGTGAAAGAGATTAGAAGTAAGAAAATACACGTGCAAGGGGGACAAAAAAAATCCCAGAAGTTTTCATTTAAAATTGTACATTTATTCTTACATGTTTAAACTTCAGACACCCTCAAAGTACTCTCTGTTTGATGCAATACATCTTTCAGCACACATTTCCCACCTCTCAAAACAATTTTGATGCCTTATACTACTTCTGCTGTTTTTTGTTTCACCTCTTCCACATCAGCAAAACGTTTCCCTTTGAGGACTTTTTCATACAGGGAAACAAAAAGAAGTCACTTGGGGTGAGATAGGGTGAATATGGAGGGCAGGGCAGGGGGTCATGTTGTTTTTGGTCAAAAACTGCTGAACACCCAGTGCAGTGTGGGTAGGTGCACTGGTAAATCACCCATCATGAAATGGGCAAACACATTTAAAGAATCTCTAGAAAAATTCACTGAAGCCAAACGCAGCCCCTCACAACAACCCTGGCTGGCACACGGATGCCGATGGGTTCCAGAACAGCTACCCAGTACAGGAAGCCTGTGCTACAAGCGGCCTGCCCACCAAACGACAACACTGGTTTTGGGGGTCTCCCCTCATAGCTGCATATTTGTCTCAAAAG